ATGGTCAATAATGGGCGGGGCTTCCCTTTTATAATGACACATACAAAGAGAGAATGTCAATCAAAGTGTTTAAATTTTGAGTGTAAAATTTGTCGTCCCACAGGTAGATGTTTAATTTACACACAAAACTACTGTACACAGCAGGAAAAACATCTCTGTTTCTCTCAGCAAAGTTAAAAAAGCAATATGTAAAAGCTGTTATTGTAATTTAATTATAGTTATTTGCAGCTTATATCATGGTAGCAAGATCACTACAGCTTTATCTGTTTAAATATGTGCATATAAATCACCTACAGTAACTTTAATGTAATATAGTTTGGTATATTTACCTTTGGCCCATGACTCTCATTTGGCCCATGATAATTGGTTTTCGGCTTTTCATTAAAAAAAAGGTTTGGGCAGCCCTGCTTTATAGTCTTATACTTAAGGTTTATGTCAGGTATTCTATAACACTTGTGTTTTGCTGCCCTCTTCTGGAGACTCTCTATACTTCATTTTTGCTCAGTGATGTTTAACAGGGGTTCACTCTCTGGATCACTTCTTTTTCTTCTTATTTTATAAGTTCTTGCTCTCTGGTTATCAAACCCATGTCACTGACACTGTTAGCACCATTCTCTACGGGGAAGCTCAAACCTCTCTTTACAGACTGAGCCTTATAGTCAGCAGGCCCGGATTGGCTTAAGTCTGTTTTTTGGCCGCGAGGGTCGGTGTCCCTTGCTGCTTGCACTCTCAGCAGTTGCACTTTTTTCATTTATTTATTTACTTGACCATAGCCACACTATTTTTATTCATTATTTTGCCGCAGCTCCGCTCTTTTTATTTATTTTCTTGCAGCCCCGTAATCAAAATGCAGTCCGCAGGTTAATGAAGATGTAACTAAGTTATCATTCCACCCCATACAGTGGCAACTTAGTGAATATTAATTAATATTAATGAATATTACACCTGCTCAATGAAAATCAGATGATTCACTACATTAATAAATCTGACATATCTTGATCAGAAATCTAAAAAGGGGAGAAAAAAAGTGGGGTAATAAAAGAGTAGACATCAATAGCAGCAGAGTGCAATACTTATTTTATATCCTGAACACATCACCCTAACAGCGCCATCTTGGTCTAGTGGTTAGCATACTGCCGCCGATCCGAGATCAATCCTTACCATGTTAATTTTTTTTTTCATTTTCAGTGTTAAGACATATAATACTGTTTGGGTTACTTGTGTAAGGGGTACATTTGTGTGTGTGTGTGTGTGTGTGTGTGTGTGTGTGTGTGTGTGTGTGTGTGTGTGTGTGTGTGTGTGTGTGTGACGACCGTTATAAAGGACTGGATATCTATGAAGAATTAATGTTCTCATATTTATGAAAAAAATTGAAAGTTCTAAAGCAGCTGTGTCCTTGAAAAAGATGTGTTAGTGTCATTAGAAAATGAATAGGAAATAACATTATTTTAATATAGTCAGTTGTCGATTGAGGTGGGCCGGTCTAAGGCTTGAAACTCTAGAGCAAAAAAGGAGTCCCACTCCAGCCCTGATAGTCAGCATAATTTCTTGTCATGTCCACATCTTCTAGTGCAGTGGTTTTTAAACTTTTTTCACCAAGTATCACCTCAGAAAAAAAAAAAATCTCTCCAAGTACCACCATAATGACCAGTAATGCAATACAGTGCAACATAGGGAGGTTCCTGAGTTTGCAGTAACTGAAATGCCCACAGCAGAGGTCTACAAAAGCACTTCTGTAGTGTGTATCTGCTAGACAATTTGTATTTTAAACAGACATAAGGACCTGTTGGTTACATATTTTTTTCACAAATGCTGAGTGCCTCTTCAGGCTCTACACCAAGCAGATTAATTTTTTTGCATCTGATGAAATGGTAAACTAAACATTCTAATCACACCAGTGTGATCGCAGGCTGCCGGGAACGGCTAATGCTGATCACAATAGTGTTATCACACACTTTACTGTCGATGGTGTGGTACTCGTTTCATCCGTCCGCTTTCCCAAATGATCACCAAGACACAGCATCCAGTCTCCGGCCTTAGACACAAAAATTACGCTGTCTATGTTAGAGTATAACAAACGGTCACCGAGTTTGTCAATCAGGTTGTACAATTCCAACCTAGCATGAGCTGTCATAAATGTGCTTATGTTAATGGCAAGCGTTTTGCAATGATTTTCCTCAGACATCGCCTGAGATGAATGTGAAAGATTTCAACATGTCAATTTTACAGAAATGATCCTGATGAATTAAGCAAAAGCTTGTTGATGGAACTCTGGTCAGGGTTATGACAATGCTTTGCGGGATCAAGAAAAATGCTGTTTTCCTTAGTATTTGTGGATGTAAATCTCCTTTTCTGCATTTTTGACAACATTTGAAGGGTAACAGGATGCTTGTTGTATTAAACACTAAAACGTTTTAATGTATTCGCTAAACAACTCATTCGACCTTTCAAGGAAATGCGAAACTTCGTCAGCCTTGACCACCACATACCCTTTCTTGAACCCTTTTAAAAGTTCAATACTGACCAGCACCCCAAGAGAGTCCTCTCATCATCCATGTAACAACAGCTTGATGTCTGGTTTTCAGAGTGTGCGCAGGTTGACATAGTAGGAACATGTGTTTACCTCCAAATCTGTATGGGATGACCGGATGTTGTAATTTACGGGATGGAACCACAGTGGGTTTAATAAGCGCATAATATTTTTTGATTGGTTGAAAGTCATTGAAAATTATTATAGAGTTTATTATCAGAGAGCTCTTCCTTGATTGACAAAATGGGTATAAGGAAGTAAAATCAAGATAACTGTTTTTCCCCTCTCTAGAGAGAGCCAAATAAGTGCTCATATCTATCACCGCAAGGTCTGTCTGTTTCATTTTGGTCCATTTGCACTCGCATATGACCTCTACTTTGAAACCATACATGTTTTGCTGAATTTCAACTTTTGGTCAGACTGTCTTCTGAGAACTCAGAAGGGGAGAACTCATGGGGAGAGCTGACAGAGTGTGGACTTTGTGGGGCTCAAAGTGGCATTGGTGTCCATGGTGCAAACAGCCATTAAATTCTAGATCATACCTTGACCTGGCCTGTTTGTATTGTCCATCTTAAAAAAAATATTGACCGGTTTGCATTTCGCCATGATTCAAAGTGTGATGAATCTCCACATTTCTTATCTTTTTACGCACTCCAACCATTTTGTCGAGACACTAGAGAATGAGAATGTGTTTGTCAAATTTAAACAACCCCAATACAACAACTCGGAAGAGTCATGAAAATGTACAGGTCGATTTTAGCACACTTTAGGAGTTTCATGCATGCTTAGCATTGCAAGATGACATTGATTTTGCCTTTTTAGTACTGTTTCTTGAAGTCAAAGGCACAGAGGAGAATAGTACTGTACTTCGCATCAAACTTTGCCTGACCTTCTCTACCTTTTGTTAGAGAAGAGACCAACATATTCATCATTTTTCGAACTATTGAAATTATGCAGAAAATAGCCTTTTTCAGTTATGGTGAGATTTAATGCAGCAAGTTGACAGAGCCATCGAAATGAAACTGAAACTATCAATGTAGAGTTGATCAAATATACCATCGAACATGTATATTTACATCCTTGCATGTGATGATCAAACCATGCTTTAATCTCAACAGCTTTATCAGCAGATAACTGATCGCTGCTCTGTAGATTTTTTTATTTTATCTGTTAAAAAGATTTTAATGTGATTATTACCTGGTGTTAAAATTGCATCAATATTAGTTTTTAGCATTGGGGTTCGAAGGCAAAAATTGATAACGCTACCATCACTATCAGTGTGTCTAGCTATCTTACAGCTATCTTACCCATGGTTTCATCTTTGATGCTAAATCTGTAGATCTATCTAAACACATTCTTGGTTATAGATATTTTGATATTTGTTTATGGTACCACCATCTCTCACCAATGATTCAAAGTCAGTAAGACTTGTTGGACATGGACATAAAGGATCCACAACATTTGAAGTTAATGGCTGTTTATCATCGACAACTGATGGATGTGTTGTATACCTGAGCCTCATGTGGTTTAAAACCTATAAGATCTTTATCTTCAGAACACAAATTTAACAAACAATTAAAGTGAATAAAGATTGCTTTCCTGTTCACAATTAGAAATACTGAATTGTTTTCAGTTCCAGTTTTATTTAGTTCAGTAAAAAAAGCATGACATTAATGTTTGTAATATAAGTCTAAAAGTATGATGGCATTTTGAATTGAATTGAAACCATATTAGTGCCATGTATGAAATCAAAAAATATGTGTATTATGAGAATAAAGTGAAAATATTTCAAATGATGAAAATAAAGTTGTAATAATTTGAAAATAAAGCCAAAATTATGAAAAAGAAATGGTCAACACTGTTGCCACACAGCAAGGTCACTGGTTAGATTCCCGGCCTGACCAAGAGGATTTTCTGTGTGATGTCTACATGTTCTCTCCGTGTTCACATGGGGTTCACAGTCCAAACACATAAGGTAAAAGGGAATTCTATAAACAAAATTGGCCAAAGTGACATAATTGGCCAAACACAGCAGTTGCTACACAGCAGTATTTCTGGAAAATACTATAGTACACTTCTGTCTTCTGTGTATTACAGGATCATTGGCTTCTCTGAACAATCTGTGAAGGTCAGTGATGGTTTTGTTTGATCTTTTACAGATTGAGAGAACTAGATCGATGAAGAATTTGCCCTTGAACATGTTTCACAGGTCCTTCCTTATATTCTACTGCTCTTTTGATGTGACCAGTGCGTCGGTGTAGTAAGCTGATGTTGTAGCCCAACTTTGAAATGTTAAATGAATCATTTAGTTTGTTTACTCAACAACATCTGAGACTAATGATCTGATCTGGGCTGTATCTTCTTCAGTAAGAATAATTCTGAACATGTTTTTAAAGGTTAAGTAAATTGATACTGTTGGACTTCAACGGGTCCAGTGCATGTTCATAAATGGGTTCGGAGTCAATCTGTCAAAATTATAAGTTTTATTTGCTCAAGCAGGAAAGAAACCAAAAGCAATACACTGCGCAGGAGAGGTTCAACTCTCTAAACTCTCCTTCAGAGACACATCCTTTTATACCACAGTTGTCTTCCGTGCATCTTCTCTTAAAAGTTAACCTTTTAAGGCAAATATCTCCTCTTAGCACACACATGGCTCATACATCCTGTCATTCTTATGTTCAATAACAGGATGTGTTTGTCTCAGCAGTCTGTAACACTGGTCTATACTGTGCTCATAATATGGCAGTTAATTCTTCAAACAACTTCTTAGTATTTGACACTTTATGGGTTAATTATTAAAGACTTCTTATGCATGAAAAACATGTAAAAGTTTTTTTTTTAACTGAAAAACACCACAATACAGAGCTATTAATTCAATATTTAGTCAAACTTACATAGTGTTGATAACTCTGCACAGTAAAAACATCCCTGCTCTCCCTCCAGGGATCTACAGAAACAGTACCATAAGCATCACTCAGGATCTTTCTCACATCTTTCATTATGTCTATGATGAAAGGAGTGTCTGTGATAATCTTCTGTATTCATTGCTTCCCAAACAAATCAAACTCCTACTTCATTGTTTTTAATCTTTTTCTTTTAAGGCAAGGTCTTTGCTGTTTTTGTAAAGAGTGTTTTCATGTTGTGCCTTTTTAGAATCAATCATTTCCTTTAGGTCTCACTGCTGAAGAATTTTATTTAATTTTGTCTGTTTTATCACAATGTTTTCTTGAAGTTAATCGATTTTGGTTTCAAATCACGTTTTCCACCGAATCATTATACACTGCTTGAAAAAATAAATAGAACACTCAAACAACACAGTGTAGCTCAAAGTCAATCACACTTCTGTGAAATCAAACTACCCACTTATTAAGCAAAACTGATGGACAGTCAATTTCACATGCTGCTGTGCAAATGGAAAAGACAAAAAGAGGGAATTATAGGCAATTAGCAAGACACTGTGTTCACCACAGATCACGTCTCAGTCCTTATGCTTTCTGGCTAATGTTTTGGTCACTTTTGAATGCTGGCAGTGCTTTCGGTGGTAGCATGTGATGGAGTTCCGGGGGGTTACGGATGAAATAGAGGATGGGGGTGGGGGTGTTGTGAGGACGTGGGTGGTGAGGGAGGTGACACGGACGTCGCCCTCTCTATTTTGCCACCTTAGGTGGCCACCTAGGTTGCCTCTATGGACGCGCCGGCCCTGTCTACAACCCACACGAGTGGCTCTGGTAGTGCAGCTCATCCAGGATGGCACATCAATGCGAGCTGTGGCAAGAAAGTTTGCTGTGACTGTCAGCGTATTGTCCAGTGCATGAAGGTGTTACAAGGAGACAGGCCAATACATCAGAAGACATGGAAGAGACTGTAGTAGGGCAACAACCCAGCAGCAGGACTGCTACCTTTGTCTTTGTGCAAGAAGGAACAGGAGGAGCACTGGCAGAGCACAGTAAAATGACCTCCAGCAGGCCCCAAATGTGCATATGTCTGCTCAAACAGTAAGAAACAGAGACCATGAGAGTGGTATGAGGGCCAGACATCCACAGGTGTGGGTTGTGCTTATAGCCCAACACCGTGCAAGACGTTTGGCATTTGCCAAAGAACACCAAGACAAATTCGCCACTGGCACCCTGTGCTCTTCACAGATAAAACCAGGTTCACACTGACAAACTTGACAGAGTCTGGAGACACTGTGGAGAACATTGTGTTGCTTGCAACATCCTGCAGCATGACCCATTTTGGGGTGGCATTTCTTTGGAGGGCCGCATAGCCCTCCATGGGCTTGCCAGAGGTAGCCTGACTGCCATTAGGTACCGAGATGAGATCCTCAGACCCCTTGTGAGACTATATGCCAGTGTAGTTGGCCCAGGGTTCCTCCTAATGCAGGACAATGCTAGACCTCATGTGGCTGGAGTGTGTCAGCAGTTCCTGCAAGACAAAGGCACTGATGCTATGGACTGACATTGTATGGAGGTCATACAGGCATGTGGAGGCCATACACTCTAATAAGCCTCCTTTGACTTGTTTAAAGACATTACATCAAAGTTGGATCAGCCTGTAGTCTGTTTTTTCCGCTAAAATGTTAAGTGTGACTCCACATCTAGACCTTCATGGGTTAGTAAAGTTGATTTCCATTGATTAATTTTGTGTGATTTTGTTGTCAGGATGTGTTATTTTTGTGCTCTCTTTATTTTTTTAAACATTGTATATTAATTTTTCTTACTCAAACTCTAACATGGATTTTTCTACTGTTCCACTTGTCTCCTTCAGTTCTGTTTAGAAGGTTTGTTTCTTCAATTTCATAAATAGCTTCTCTTCATTTCTTCTTTATTTTTTTACTATCTTTCATTATTTCCTCCATTTCACTCTTGAGTTTCTGAATCTGTTCATCTAAAACCTCCTTTTCTGTTTCTAGACTTTTCAGTTCTTCTCTTCTCTTCATCTCTTCTTCCTGATTTAGTTCTTCCTCCTTCACCTTCTTCATTTTGTCTTTCTCTTTTTCTAGTTTCTTCATCTTTTCTTCTGTTTCTCTGACTCTGTTCTTCAGGATCTTCATCTGCTGTTCTTGTTTTTCTCTCTCCATCTCTCTGAACATCTTACATGAGTAGAAGCTTCCTCCGTTTGCCTTCACCATGTTGTCTATCTTCTCCAGTAGTTCAGACACTTGTGTTCGGTCTTCAGGCTCATTATTGTTGAACACATGGAATCTGTTTCCACAAGTTTCAAGCAGTTTTCGGACCACAGATCCAGGTTTTCCCAAACACTCTTCAAGGGTTTTGTCCTTCAGGAAGTCTCCTCTGGTGAAGAGCACAACGGTGAACATTAGAGATTTTTCACCAAACGTCTTCTGGATGAACTTCACTGATTTTTCTTCCTCTTTAGTGAATCTCTGTCCTAAATTGAGCACGATGATGAACACATGTGGTCCAGGCAGAATCATGGAGATGCAGTTGCTGATTTCTCTCTGGATCTCCTTATTACTGAGTTCAGTATCAAACAGTCCTGGAGTGTCGATCACAGTGATGTGTCTGCCATTGACTTCACATGATTCTCTCTGAGTCTCTTTAGTAACAGATTCTTCTGATATTCCTGCTTTAAATGCCTCTTTTTCTAAGATTGTGTTTCCTGTTGAACTTTTACCAACTCCAGTTTTTCCCAGAAGAACAATCCTCAGTTCATCTTCACTCTCAGCTGAACCTGTTAAAGAGAATCTACATTAGTCTTAAGAGATAAAAGGTATAAAGTTTCTATTTTTTTTTTACTAATGTGTACTGTGCAGGCTAATTTATCCCTTATCTACATTTGAAGAATAGTAAAAACATTAACAATTGACATAATTATTTATTTTCCTACAACAGATATCAGTGGTCACAAGTTTCCAACATTATTGATCTTATTCTTCATATATGAGGTGCCTCGGCCATTTGAATTTTTAGCTCGAGATTTCCACTCATTCACTTACATTCAATTTTAGATGTTAAAAAGAAATCATTATGCTGCTTGATGTTTTCTTATACTATTCTACTTTGTTTGTAGACCAGGTAGTTTGACCATTTTCCTTCATTTATTATTCCTAGTAATTTCTCCCATAGGCAACTGAATCAGAAGTTCTAAAACAATCGCAAAAACGAGCGCACTTCTACATTTCAGAATAAGGTCAATAAAAATATCTTCTTTTGTGATAAAAGTTGTTGGAAACAAGTCAAAAGGCGAGTAAATGATGGCTGAATGTACATGTTTTAGGTGAACTATACTTTTTACAGAGAGATTTAATGATTCAATAATCTGTGTGTGATTCACCTTTGTCTTCGCTCCCGGACATGATGATATCTTGTTTTTTTCCCTTGTCTTATTTTTCAGTCTTCAGTTGGTCATCTTTTCATCTATTCAATGAACAACACACTGATTCACTGAGTCAATAAAAAAACACAGATTCAGCTTCACTGTGATTCAATGAACAAACACACTGATTCAGATTAACTGAATCAACAAACAAAAACACAGATTCACTGTGACTCAATGAAGAAACACTGATTCAGATTCACTGTGATTCAATGAACAAACACTGATTCAGATTCAATATGACTCAATGAAAAATCACTGATTCAGATTCACTGTGATTCAATGAACAAACACTGATTTAGATTCACTGTGACTCAATGAACTAACACAGATTCAGTTTCACTGAGTCAATAAACAAACACACAGATTCAGCTTCAATATGATTCAGTGAACTAGCACACTGATTCAGATTCATTGATTCAATGAACAAACACACAGATTCACTGTGACTCAATGAAGAAACACTGATTCAGATTCACTGTGATTCAATGAACAAACACTGATTCAGATTCACTGTGACTCAATGAACAAACACAGATTCAGCTTCACTGAGTCAATAAACAAACACACAGATTCAGCTTCAATATGATTCAGTGAAAAAGCACACTGATTCAGATTCACTGAGTCAATGAACAAACACACAGATTCAGCTTCACTGTGATTGAATGAACAAACCTACCGATTCAGATCCACTGAGTTACGAACACACGAATTCAAATCCCCTGAGACAATAAACAAAAACAGTCATTCAGATTCACTGTGACTCAATGAACAAACACACTGTGTCAATGTACAAACACACTGATTCAGCTTTAGTTCACTCTGTTGTAAAAGCAGCTGGAACTGAAACATTTAAAGCTTTAGTTCTTCTGGATTCAACTGTGCATCTGGATGTTTATAAATATACATATCTCTGTCTTTCTTACACAGTTATAATGACAATAAGCTCTGCTGAATCACACAAAACTAAATTACTGGCATTTGTTCTTCAGACAGTAAAGAATACATTAAAAATTTAAATTTAGCAAATCTGTGCTGAACAACATGAGCTTTGACTTTCATCAGTACATGCATAATTAAAAAGAAATCTCTTTCAAATGTAAATTAAAGAGTATTTTAGTAAGGAAATTGAATACTGTACCTCTTGCCGAACTCTTGCTGTGTTCAGAGGTTTGTTTCTGCCAGTATGAGAGCAGAAAGAGGTTTGCAGGTGGAGTCCTTCAGGAAAAAAAAACTGCTGTTCTGGTCTGACAGGTAAAGTTTAAGGAACACATTCTGGGGTAAAATGAGACATCATTTGATCCAATGGCATCAAAACAGCTGCTCACTATAAAGATATTCTGCAGCAGAGACAGATTAAGTCAAATCTCAGCAAACATATAAGAAACAACAGCAGATCAAAGACCAGACTATCAAACACAAAAGCACAATCCCTACAAGTCCTCCAAAATCATACAACACATGCTTTTTAGCTTTCATGGCTGCATCCTCTGATGTAACTACAAACTACAAGCTTCTTTCACAAACTCTTTCACTTCTTTCACTTCTGTTTCAAAACCATTCATCAACATAACCCTCAATAATGTTCTGTGACTTCAATTTGGCATAATGACACATTTTTGCATTAACATTCATTAAGCTTTTGGCACCACAAAAGTCCAGTTCAGCACAATTCCCATGTTTATTTAGCACCTTTCTAAACTCTGTGTCAGTCAAGTCCACTAACAACACAACTTTTCATGACAATGACTTAATTGTACTGTTGCAACACATTCCTGTGTATCACTAACAGAAATTGTGTAAGCACTCCTCTCAGTCTTGGCTACATTGAGCTGATTGTACTAAGTTTACAAAGCAAATATCAAATGTATTCCTGGAATCTGGGCTAAATGAATAAAGCATTGTTGTTGCACTTCTGACATTGTGCCAGACCCTCCGTCACCTCGTAGAGACTAGATCTAGAGATAACTTAATACCTAAAAAGGTACACTAGTTTATACAGAGCTACTATTTCCAATTCATTATCCTAAAAGAAGATGGGTTGCAAATCCATTTCTTTTGTTCCCTATGTTTACAGGTTAAACATAATCTTTGTCTAATTCAACAGAGATCAAATCTACTGTAAGTAAAATTCAAACTAAAACATCTGTTAACAGAAGTTAAACAGCAATCAATCACAAACTAACAGAACACACACACACACACACACACAGTACAATCTGTTTCCCATTAAACTTACCTTATTTTCCAGGTTCTACTTTACCAAAGTTCTCAACTCACATCCACAGTCCACGTACTATTATTAAACACAACTCCATAAACCTAAATTTGTCAATTATAGGAACATTTTGTTATCAAACATCAGACCAGTATAACCTCTAAAATCGTATTAACTTGTAATCTTCTCAGCTTGTCATATCCTACCATATTACTGTACTCTGGTCATCACATAATCTAGGTCCATAACATTTAACTTTTTTAATAATCATAAAGACATAAGAATAGATATCTGTTACTCCATTCTGGAGCGGACATCCATCAGAAAATCCATGTTCTCTGTCCCACACCTTGACCAACGTGACAATCAATACTTCTCTTCTGGTCAACAAAAGTGAGGTCGCTACAGAAAAGTGGGAGTGGTGATGCATGCTCTCTGGCAGGTCACAATTGTCTCTTCACCCTGTCATGGACATGCCGGTCTCTATGATCAGGGCCTTCTACTCACCTTCTACTCACATCAGGGGTTGATGTGGTCATCTAGCCATCCAGCTTCCAAGATGGTTTGCCAGCATCAGCAGGTGCTTTTTCTGCAATCAGATGTAAAAACATATGAGAAACAACAGCAGACCAAAGACCAGACTATCAAACACAAAAGCACAATCCTTACAAGTCCTCCAAAAGCATACAACACATGCTTTTTAACTTTCATCCTCTGATGTAACTACAAACATACTCCAAGCTTCTTTCACAAACTCTTCCATTGATTCAGTCACATCTGTGAACATAGCTCCAACTCTAAAACCAAACATCCAGTTATAGCTGGGCTAATAAGTATAAAATATACAAAAGTATTTGTGAACTTCGTCAAAATTAACTTTTTTCAATTACTTTTGTTTTACATATTGTTTTCTTAATTATTATGTATATGGCTTGTAATAGGCATGTACTCTATGCTGAACCATGTTGACGAATGTTGTTTTATGGAGAGCACATATTAGTGACACACACAGTAACTCATGTAGTGTGTGGGCAGCCAGTGCCATCTTCAGTATTGAAGTATTGAGTTAGATGTATGCTCTCTCACTCTGCTAATGTGAGCCTGAGTGGGAAAAGAGAGAGACATGTTTTTCAGCGTACTAATTGTGCTCTGTGTTTTTGCATAATAAATCAAACCTGAGACTTCCAACGTCACTGTCGTCTTATTGACTAAAACACACAACCAGAGTAAAACTGCTACATTAAAATGGTGCCGTGACCTACTGGATCAACAGAGTCAGCTGCAGCTGACCACTGGAGTTGTTCTATGTGTTCATGGTGTTCGAGTGCTGTAAGTGAAGGCTAAAAAATTAATTTCAACAATGTTCCTCTAGCTGATTCGTAAGAGACCGAAAAAAGACACTTTTCTGAGGTTTGATACTGACAAACTCTTGGTTTCTGCTGGTAAACCTAGAGCGTTAATTTATAGTCCTCAATCACATGATACTTCAACAAACCAACCTGCTGGTCCGACTGCCTGTACTTCTAGTAATGCTGTTGATAATATTGCACAGCAGTTCCCCTTCGGATGGGGAACTCCAATGTTATGTGGAAAACCTTCCACTTTGGGTTTTCGTCAGAAACCAATCATCTGAAAGAGTATAAAATCGGGCCAATGAAATGCCAAATGAATCAATGACAATCAGTCCAGTATATAAGACGCGGCTAGTGCAATGCTCAACATCCTTTTCGCTTTCAGAGCCTTTCATGTGCTTCTGAAAGAGTCTTTGAGGGTTCTCCAACTTGTGTCTACAGAGAGACATCGAGAAGCAGCTTCTCCCAGTCCAGAGCGCGTATACGCAGTAGCAGATGGTCGAGCTGGGTTTTTCTCTCTTTCCTGGCGTTCTTTATGTCTGGTCCTCCAAGAGCGGTTTGTATATAGGGAAGAATTTTTCCTAAAAGAGCAACAAGGTTTTGCAGCGCGTCTTTTTCAAGACGTCGCTTTTACCATGCGTTTCTGGATGCGGTGGTTTCCTATCCCTATCATTTCTGGGGGTCCAGCATGTTAATGCGGTGCTCGCAGGCAGTGCATGCCGTCACTGTGATGTCATGTCTGTTGCGCAGTTAAGGTCGCGGCTCGCTCTTGCAAAAGAGCGACCCACCCCAGTTGTCCCCCGCACTGTGGTTGGTACTCGGGCAGATCTGAGGATTACAGTGGGAGCAAATCCGCCGCCTTCGGGCTGCAGACCTCTCGCTCCTCCACTCGCTCCATCCAAGCTTCAGTTGAAGAGAAGAGCTCTGTCTTCGGATGGTTGCCTGCTTGCTCTCTCTCTCCGGGGTGAAGAGCACGACATTTGCATCTAAAAAGCAGGCATGATGGACGTGCTTTCCCGGGCTGCTTCGGCTGCGGGCCTGGTGATGGTTTATCCCCCAGCCCCGTGACCAGACCGATTAGATGGGTGTTATGTGGAGGATTCAAAGCCTTCCATCCCCTTCTTCCTGGAAGTACATAGTAAGCTCACGCAGATTTGAGGGCACTTTTTTCTGCATCTGCATGTGCTTTCATCCTCACCATCCTTGCAGGGTGGGTTGTCAATGTCTGATGAGGATTCGAGCCTGCTCCTCCCTCCGGGTTGATGAACGCGGTGAAGAATCTAGAAGCAGACTTTGTGGCTGTGCTTCCCCAGGCTGCTTCGGTTGTGGCTGGAGTTGGTTTATCCTCCAGCCCCACGGCTGGACCAACTAGAAGGGAGTGAAAACCCTTCTTCCTGGATGCGCAAATTAGGCTTACACAGCGTGCTGCGTGTGGCAGCCATGGGAGGCAACGCCATCTTCAGTACAATGGACTTGACCTTTGGGATTCATAACATCATCGTATTCGAGAACGACAGAAAGTTCACTGCCTTTACGACTCCCATGGATTTCTGGTATTATCAGAAGTTTATTCCTAACTCTTCCAGTGTAGCTAAGCCCCTGTTTAACTTGACAGCAGCGCCTAAATGAAAAAAAAAAAACATCTCAAAGGGGTGAAATTAACTTTAAGAAATTAAACCCCGCTAACGGGATGAGAGAACATAGTAAGGCTTTCCAGAATTTCCAGAAAGTCATCCTTACCAGAGTCTGTTGTGCTGGCACACCCAAATTTCAGCAGACCATCCATTTTTTTCCACCGATGAGCCCTTGGATGGTTATAGTAAGGCAGGCCCTATTGCCTTTGACAGCAAAGCCCTCACCAAGGCACAAACTAAGTACCCTGCCCAGACACATGCAAGCAACGGTGGGTGTCTAAGTCGGCCCCCTATAGCTTTAACATTTAAAAAATACCCGGAAGTAAAAAATGTGGTCGCTGATGCTTTAAGTAGACAGCCCTTCGTTCATCAGAGCGGTGGTCAAAGACTGATATCTGAACCATACAGTGTTTTGTTTAAAGAGTCAGCAAAAGTTTAAGAAAACACTGTTCAGGATGCAGGATGCCTTTAGGTTAAGTGCGAAAATCTGCACTGTTAAACAACAAACCTGTAGGCCGCTAGAACACTGTTCTCTTACTTACACAATGGGAAGCGGGAGCATCTGGAGATAATATAATCACCAGTTGTTGACTACAGGTCCCAGTTCACTGCCTGTGTTCTCGCTGCGTAAGTTGCGAAAGAAGCAGCAAGGTGATGACATCCTCTCATGATATAGCAAAGAAGCCTTCTAATTGTGAGAGAGCTGGTGAGACATTTGAGGTGCTCAAAACTCTGAAACAGTGGGAGAAGCTTAAAATAATTGATAGAGTGTTATACAGGGTGACAAAAGATGCCTTGACAGGAAAAAAGAGGCGGCAGTATTTCGTTCCAACTTCCCTTGTGAGTTGGGCTCTTTTGAGGATCCACAATAAAGCTGGACATTAAGGTCAGGGTAGGAATTTATTCATTGCAAGACGGGTTCTTCTTGACAATTTCTGAGCGAGATGTGCATGAAAGCATGTCAAATGTTAAAAACATTTGTGGAGGCTGGGAGCTGGCCTCAGCGAAGACTCATCTGTCCCTG